CCCACCCACACCCTCCCTTCCCAGACAACTCCCGGTTTTCCTGACTGGATGTGCCCCGCTCAGACCTCTGTGCCTTGGCATGTGCATTCTGCTCTACCTGGAGCGCGCTTCTCAAGGCAAACTCCCAGTCATACATCCACACCCAGCGCCAAGGTTTGTGAAGCCAGACCTCACCACCCCGGCCTTCTGCCCCCACAGCACTCCCCACGGGCCTTCTGTGCTCCCACCCAACTGCACCCCACTGTCTGCAGCAGGAGCTAATGAAGGGCAGGTGCCTCTTGAGTCCTTGCAGGGAACTGGTGCTCAATGAATTCTAAGTGAATGACCTTGCATGAAAGGTTTTCGTAAAAGGCTAAAAAAGCAAATCACACAGAAAGCAGACAATAGATATTTTTGACTACTGAAAGCATGTATTCTCTCAACTCTGATCTTTGGTTGAATATCATCAGGAACCAGACAGAGATGCTCTATCACTTCCTAGTTGGGTATCTATGGGCAAATTAAGCAACCTTGCTGTGTCTCCAATTTCCACTTACTGAAAGCAACCAGCCCTGCAGTGTGGTTAAGAGGACTAATTAATAAACGCTTAGAAACAAACAAACAAAAGTAACAGAAAGCGTTGACTAAACGGTCGTTCTGACTAGCCTGCCATAATCACAGACACCTTAACAGGACCGAATACTGTACCGTGAGGAAAGTGAGCACAACGGAATTTTGGCTAAAACTATGTTTTGTTTTGTTTTGTCTTGTTTTGTTTTTAGGCGAGCTGAAAGTCAGCAAATCCAACAGCTTGTCTTCCAGCTGCACTGTGCCCTCTACAGTCCTCAGTACTGATCCCTAGTGAGCACTTGTAAGAGTAAAATATGCTAAAACTCCAAAATTATTATTAATAACACTAATTAAAGAAAACACGGAGTAATGAAAAGGGCTCTGGCAACGGAAACAGGATCTCAGTCTACAATCTCAAGTCTGACTCTTTAGTGTATGACCTCAGGAACTGGCTTCACCTTTAAATACTTTCTCATCTGAGAGAGAAGGAGAGCACCGCCTTTACCTTTCTGCAACATGAGATAACAGTACCTAGTAGAGTACCTGACACGAAATGTTCAGAAATACTTTGCTTCCTTCATTCAACATGAAAGACACACTCACATGAAGGTTTAGG